GTTAGCCGGGGGAGGCCGCAGGCGCCGGGAATGCGCCCCCGCGCCGGCTCGCCGCGCTCGCGTCTAGGAGCTCCGGCAAACGTTGGCTGAAGCGCTGGCCTCCGCTCGGCCTGCTCGGCAGCACCGCTAGATGGAGCCCTGGCGGCCGCGCCAGTCGGCCTTCGAGTGGTTTCCGAAAGTGTCAGAGTCCGTCTCCCAGTGCGGCTCTGAAGACCAGAAGAGCAGAGTTTACGTTCAAACCCCAAGGCTCTGTGACGGCAGAATGTCCTCCTAGCAGGGCTCGCTTTTGCTTTTCAGCAAAACAACTCTTAGTGGTTCGCTGAGCGACAAGCAAGGGGTTTACGTAACCCTTCTTTTTTGAGAAATTTGATGGAGGTAAACTTCCGCAGTGCGTTTGAGTCAGCCATTCCGCGGCTGGCTTTGCCCACGGCAGCTTTCGGTTCTCGGTTATCCGTAGCTACAGCGGGGAAGGTGACACACCTGTACTGCAGGTTAAGGCTGAGGGAACGTTGTAAGTTGTCCTGACTCTGTCACCTGGATTGGATTTTATTTCCGCTTTCATTGCTTGCTCCCCCCCACCTCCTTTAATATTTAGTAGACCACTTCTTTTAGTGAAAAACCCCTGGGGGAGAGGTTGTTAGCAAACAGATTCTTGTTTTTCTGAGGTTGCAGTATTTGAACAACAGACACTCCTGGGACTGGCATTTCTGGGACTGCTAGAACCCAGCGACTTTCCTTGGGTTTTTTGTTCACATTTGCTTTACCTCCAAATGTATGTAGTCACCCTCCTCCCCCCACTTTTTTCCTCAGGGCTTCAAGTTGTCAGCAGATGTCAAACCATTTGTCCCCAAATTTGCTGGGCTCGGTGTGGCATGGTCAGAGTCTTCGGAAGCACGTGTGTTCCCTAGCTGTGCAGCCGCCTACTATCCGTGTGTTCAGGAGCTCCCTGTGCCTGAGTATGTATCGTTCTCAGTGTCTTGCCTTCCCTGGGGACTGAATGGGGATTGCACTTTCAAGTACGCTGCACCTAACATAGTGTTCTCAGTACGACCAGAGGATGGGATGCTCCTCAGCCAAGAACGGCCTGAGGTAGTGGCACGACTTAACCGTGTCCTACGCCAAAAACGGAAACCTCAACTCTCCATACTCACGCAGTTATTTTGGGCAAAGAAGGTGTGGAGGTTGCATTGCATTCACTAGTAAGAAATGCAGTTTCAGGGTTTATTTGTGCATGGGATCTGAAACACATGTCTAACGGGAGATGAGATGGCTGGGGGTGTAGAGAGGAAACGGGGCAAAGACAAGCCCAGAGAAATAAGCATGCTCTGTGGTTTTAGGGTGTAACATTGTAAAATCTTGCTTGGGGAAGGAGAAGGAGTGGGGCTTGCAACCATGGCTGCTCTTTTGTTGGATAGCTCTTTGGAAATTGCTGAGTTTTGCTTTCCACTATTTTTCTTTAGAAATGTCCTGTGGAGGTGGATTCTAGAAGCTTCGGTTATAAAATTCTTCTAAGTTTGAGTTGAAAGAAGGCTTATGTTGGTTTTTCAGTTTTCCTTCTCAAGTTTCATTCTTTAGGTACTTATACAGTGGTTTGCGTTAATAGTTGAATTTAGGAAAATGTGCGTTAAACCTTTCATGTAATTGTGTAGAGTACTTGGTAGACTTTTTAAAGGTATGCATCACCTTTATGCTTATGTAAGAATCCTTGTCTTTGTGTTCCTTTAATGTGGGTCATACTTGTTTCTTTCTCATGCCTGTGTAGTGTTGATTGCATACTTCATATAAATTCTAGATTCGTATTCACAAGAATGAAATTTGAAATGAATAATAAAACCATCGAGTTGTTTGGTGTATATAGGTTGTATTTTTTGACAAAGTTGAAGTACTGCTTGTATGTGCTTTGCTAGGAATACTGAAGTTTTCCACTGAGATTTCATCCTTTGTTAAAGGAAGGTTGGCATGGGTCTCATTTGGGTTGTTCCCTACCTTGGGTGGTTCACAAAGTAAAGTTAAAATATATTTCACTCAGTGACAAGGATTCGAAGCCATCTGCTGGGTGGGATTCCAGTTACCCAAAATAAAGGTGGAAAACATTCTTACAGCTAAAGTAATGTTCTGGAAGTAGCATGAATCGAGAAGAATCAGAAGCTTAAGGATGTGCACTGCTGAATTTAAAAATTAGGTTTCTTAACCTCTTACCCTTTTTTAGCTTTGATTTAAAAAATAATTATTTATAACCAAGGAAAAGATTGGGTGACAATATTCCTGCCTGACGAGAAAACAGTTAAGGACAAAAGAGGCGTGAAAGCAGAGGGGCAGGGTTAAGAGGGACAGGAAGGAGCCTTTGAAGGGGACAAAACGGGGTACTTTACATATTTGAGAACCCATTACCTGGTCCATTCTGATCGAGGCTAAGAAGTCTGCTTGAGCCAGGTTTCCTGTAAATGGAGATCTCTGCGATGAAAAAACAGAGTAAGGAGCTTATGTTGTCTTTCCTGCCTGTCCCGCTGCCTGTCTCAATCCATGAGGTTGGCAGGAGGTGTCATGTTATTTTTACACCTGAGAAACTGGGGCTGGAAACGTGTGTTCAAAGTCATTCAGGTAAGGCGGCGCCTGAAGCAGCGTGACCGTCCTTTCTTCTGACCTGCACTCAGCCGGACTCCCCAAAGCTGCTTGCACCGCTGGCGACGACTGTTTGCTGAGCATTTCAGCGTGTTGTACTCTGCTGTCAGCTGTGGGCGCTTCTGAGTGGAAGTCTCAGCTGTGAGACCTAGTAGTCCTGGACGGAATAGTCCTGGCTCCGGTCTGTTTGGTGGCTGGAGGAGCTGCTGGAGCCTGACACGTCCTGGCCTGACGGCAGGGACTGGTGCAAGACTACTGGGGCGACTGTCAAGGACGAAGGACCAGGCGAAGTGCTTGGGGGAGCCCGCACGGTACAGCTGCAAAGACCAGGTGTGCTGGGTAGGAGGTAGGGTGCTGCTGGTCGTGTCCTGCACGGTGTCGGGACGCTCACTCCTGGATTCTCATTCAGCTTGAAGGGAGAGGGGCATGAAGCCTCAGACTGGGTTCCAGGCACTGAAACTCGGGAAGGTATACATGGAGCCCTGCCGCCAGGAGAAAGGCTCCCGGGTGGTCCCTGTGGGTGGTGGCAGGAGAGAGGCTGTGGTGGTTTCTGGCTGAGTACGTGCAGAGTGGGGGGTGGGAAGAGGGGCCGTTTGGGGACCAGCAGCTCAGCTTGGACTCCAGTGCCGGTTAGGGAAGAGTGAGCTGTTGTGTGGGAACCACCTGTGGGTTGGAGAGCGAGGCCCGGAGCTGGCGAAGGTGCCCGACTGCGAGTATGTATGTGAAGTCTGAGCAGAATGAGGAGAGGTTTGGACTCTGAGTCTGACTGGAGAGAAAAGGAAAGTGCCGAGGAGGGCCCTCCACGGACGAGCCTTTGGAAGGTGGGACCGGGTTGCAAGTCCAGGCTGGTGGAACTTTTCAGGTGATCTGACAGAAGGGCCAGACCCGCAGATGCTGTGACGAGGAGGCGACTGGGCTTGCAGGAAGGATGTCCTGGAGACTCGGGATGGTTGGTAGGGATGGGGCGGGGGGAAGTGGACACAGAGGTCAGTGGGTGTTGTGGGTATGGGGGAAGGCGGGGCGGCCTAGCTGCAGGAGAAGTGCTGCTAATATACAGGGAGGGGTGGGTGAGAAGGTGGGTGTACGGGCGTGTGTTCTGGGCTGGGGGTTGTCTGCGTAGTTTGTGGCAACTGGAATTTTACAGACAAGCTGCTTGAAGCCCCAACGGATGCTGTGGGTTGTTGCCATGAGATTTTACTGGGTGTTGTGCTCCGCATATAATTGTATTGGCCTTGAATGGAAAGCAAAAAACCAACTTCCCAGAGTAAGAAAGACCAGTGAGGACTTGTCCAAAGTGGAGAACTAGATTTTTGAATTGAGCCAGGACCCAAACCGAGGGCTCTGGGTTCACGGATGTAGGGTTGCTGGATGACGGCAGCCTTCACAACCGCTGGACCCTGCCTCCCTTTCCTTCTTTACCTAAATTTCATTGGTCTGTTCATTTATCTGGTTTTTGGACTTGGGATACCATCTCTTTTGCTATGTTTTGCTATCAGCCCCTCTTTGCCCACTGCCCTTGTGAAGAACAGATCCCCCCCCGCCCCCGCTTAGATTTTCTGAGCTTCCAAATAAAATAAAACAGGGATTCGCATTTGGGAACAGGATGATGCTTTAAATCATTTTCTTCTCTGCAAAGAATAGCACTAGGCCAGGTGTACTAAAAAAGTACAGTAAAAAGGGTTTTTCTTGGGTTTTCATTTGGAATAGCTCATTACTAGAGTTAGTGAATGATCTTCCTTGGTGTGAACTTACTGTAAAATATCGTGGGCTCAGAGACACCAATAGCAGGCTGTCCAGTTAGGTAGTGCATGTATGTGGATGCAGGGCATTCTGGCAAGTGTGTTTCAGTTCAGGTGTGGGTGGTGACGCCTTTGTCCTGCAGTGCAGGCCCTTCCCTGCCCCAGAGCAGAAATACTGTGTATTTAAGAGTGCTTCCTGTGCCCGTACCTGCCGGCCACCCAGCCGTGAGAAGATCGTGCAGGGTGGCTCCTCGTGAGCTCTCATGTTCTGCCTTTCAATGGACCAGCACCCTTTGGGATTCCGTTGATTTTCTACAAGAAGATTTTCAGCTCTGGGAAGTCACAGAAACATCTGCTGGTGCTCACTTGTGGAAATGAGAAGGGTGTGTTTTGTGTCTTAGCTCATCTGCTCGGCCATTTCGCCATTGTGTCGTCTTTCATTGCTAGAGGATTGAAGCCTCTGGCTGAATACCAAATTTGCTCACAAAATCAGTGTTCAATTATATTTTGGTTTAGCCTTAGCAGCTTGAGCAAACGGGCATGAGGGTGTCCCCAGATGGCACCTGTCTCGCCGGTGGGTTGCAGCTCCCAGGCCACCATGGGCGCAGTGTCCCCTTCGCAGCCGTGGCCCTGCGAGGCCGAAAAGCACAGGATGTGGTGGTCGCGCTGGAGGTCAGATGGGCCGGTGGCGGCTCTGTGAAAGCCCCCTCCGCAGAGAGAATGGTCTGGGTGGCCCTTTAGGCCCCGGGTGGCTGTGGGAGGCTTTTGCAAACGTCTGACAGTGTGGGAGCGCAGAGCTGCTGAGGCGTCCCTGGGCTTTGCTGCTGCACATTGTGATGCCGTCCTGCCGTGGGCGGGCACCAGGCAAGAAAGAAATGCTAGGAGTTTTTATTCCACTATTGGAGATATCTCAGTGCCAGAACGAATGACCTCAAAATAATAAAGAGTTTAAACGTGCTTATTATAGAATAGCTCCTTGGTTTGTGGTATGAAATCCGCAACTAAAACATACCCGTCTTATTTAGGCAGAAGCTCTGTACTGAAGATGTGGCCTTCGGAGCTTCACCTTTCCTACCTCAGTATTTATCTTCTGAGCTTGCTCTTCATCCGTGCCGTTACTCTCCTTACCCCGTGGAGTGCTCACAGAGCGGCTGCCCAGTGCCCGGCTCCCAGTATGCTTGCGGCCGCCCCAGTGCGTACCGAGGTTTTCAGACCGTGAAGCCGCGAGGCGAGCAGATGTGCCCTGTCCCACAAGACTCAAAAGCTTTGTTTAAGGTTAGCATGCCGCCGTGGTGGTGGTTACTGTAGCGTTTAAAATGGAAAGAGCTGGTAGGTTCTCACGTGGTATTTAAGTATTTTTTATCTTTTTTGTGTATTTAAGAATTGATTATTCTTTTTTGAAATGGTGGTTGTGAATCCTTATGGTTTTGCGATTTTAAGCCTTTTTTTAAATGGTGCTAGTTTTCTTTAATTCATGTGAATTTTTAATTTTTCCTGCAGAAAAAAACATATGAGCAGAAGTTTGACAGCAAGAAGGCTGATGGATCTCTGTCATCTGATATAAAATCAGGTAGAGGTTCACATCCTGTGTCCATTCACGCTGACGCAAACTTGAAACCAGGTGAAAATGACAGACTATCTGATGTTATATTGTCCTTTCCGGCCCGCCCCAGAAAGGTTACTGTTCTTTGTACACCTGTTTCTGCGGAGGCCATTGGACTCTGAGGGGATTCTGGAGGCCTCTCCGCCCGGGGAGGGACCTGTTGCGGGCGGGAGGGGGGCTCTCTGGTGTGCTCTAGTTTGTGTAGGAAACGACCCAAAGTCACATGGCAAGTAGGTAACCCGCACAGGCCTCAAAACATGTCCTTAAGTGAATCCCAGCCGCATCCTCTGTACAGTATTTGACCATGTTCATTCCTGAAATAGCCTCTCTGGTGTTCTGTTGGGACACTTTTTAATAGGTGGAGAGTTTGTCTGCGGTTTGAATCCCATCATGAGCAATAGCAAACCTGGGGCAGTGTAGTTAGTCGGGGGACATGTCTGCTCTGGCCTTGGAAACCACTGTTCCGGGCTATGGCTGAAAGCTAGTGATTCTGTGTGGTGTAAATTACGGACTAGTGCAGTTTGATGGCTTATTTATAAAAAGAGCTAAAACCTTTGTAATCGTGTATTTACTGGGAATGACCAGTTGACGTGGATGACTTACATTACTTGTTATGTAAGTTTTTCTCTTTGTGTTGACTTCACTCAGAAACCATTTGGCGCATGGAAGTTTGCAGGGCAAGTTGAACAGTTAACCGTAATGATTGGCTTCATGGCCTTGCAGCCCACATCAGGATTCATTTGTATTTGAACGAAGGGATGCAGAAGAGAGTCCAAGTTTACTTCTACTTGGCTTTCTTCCAAAGTTCCTCTCAAGTGTGGAAGATTTATCCCTGAAAAGAAATTTGTTGGCATCTCTGTAAATTTGCAGAACTCTACAATGCGTATTAAGAATAATTAGGTCAGGTGGCAGTAACTAGTTCATCAGCTTTAGAATTATGCCTCAGATTTGCAGCAGGCTTTGCTTTTTTCTTCCTGGTGGCCCACCCAGAGCAGCTGGTGCTTGTGGTCATTTCTGTTTCCCACATTACACAGGTTGGCAACACTAGCAAACGGGAGGGCGTTCGGACAGTCCCGGGTTAGTGTGTCAGCAGCGATAGGCTTCCCGCCCTGCGGTTGAGGTGTGAATACGGGTCTTCACACAATACCTACCTTTTCACCCCTTTTGATTCTGTAAATACAGATGGTTATCCGAAGCGAACAGACAGGAAATCCGGAATCGTTGAAAAAAGTGGATCTGCCTCCAAACCTGAGTTTGAATTTACCAGGTTGGACTTTCCTGAACTGCAGGGTCCGGAACACAGTGAGATCTCAGAGACAGAGAAGCAGTCCAAGTGGGGGCCTCTGCGCTCCACCTCCGCTGACCTGTCTCTTCTCCGAGAGGTGGTGAAACCCGCCGTGGTGACAACGGAGGTGAGTGCGGGGCCTCTTCTCTGTTTCCCTCCTCCTCTTCTCTACCTTCCTTCTTTCTCCCTGCACACCTTTGCAGGTGCCTCACAGTGCACTGCATCTTCCTGTGAGGGCCTGGCTTCCTTGTGAGGACCTTCTGCTTGGACTCCTCCCAGCCTGGCGTGGCCCCCAGTACAGCTGTTCGTTTAAAAGAATCACCTGATTCTGGTGCTTTCTAGCTACAGGGGACGGAGGTCGGATTCCGGCACGGGTCCCGCTGTGTAGACAGCCCCTGGTGATCACCTCACTCCCAGCATTGCATTCCGACAACACGTTTACAAGCACAAACAGATTGTTTTAATCCAGCAGTAATAGGTCAAACTGCATAGGGTAGCCTCTGATTTTTCCAGGCTTTTTATCCGTATCTCTCTCATTGATGAGATCATAACCTCAGCAGAAGTAATCACTGTGTGTTTTGTTTGCCACTTAATGATTTTAAAATATGCTGTGTTCCACATTTGGTCTTGGAGTTTTAGTCCATCCGGGTTCCAGGAAAAAACGACATGAGGTTAGTAGTCCCTAAGGTGGCTTCTCACTGATTTCTGCCGAGAGAGGGTGGGAGGGCAAGGAGAAGGAGGAGACAGGGAAGGAGACAGCTCCCCCCTCCATGTACCTCTTGAATGGAGTGGGGACTTGGATGCACTTGGGTGCCTGGACATTGCCGACCAGAGGTGGGCAGGGTGGTTGGTAGTGTGCACAAGGTAGCCCGTTCCGCACGCGGTGACCCTGACGCTGTGTGCCACGGCGCTTCTTTGTGGCTTAACTGTGACGAGGAAGGCAGGCTGGCCAGCTGGCATAGAAGAATCTGGTTTGGCAGCCGTGGGACCCTTTGGTCCTGGCTGGGTGTGTGGAGTAAACTGAGCCATCGAGGGGCTCCACGTCTGCCTCCCTGGTGGTCAGTGCATAACCCAAGCCTGTGAGCGCTCTATGGAAGTAGGACAGGCCGCCAGGGAGCTGTGGCGGGGTGTGACCGACCCGTTCTGTCGTGTTCCCGGTCACACACGTGCGTCTGGACACGAAGTGAGGCACGTGGCGCTGTGAGGAGGGGTACAGACTCCTTGCCTGAGGATGTGTTCACACTCTTGAGTTACATGCGGACTTTTAATTTTTCCTTCTAGAAGAAACTTTTTTCTCTATTATCGTAGTAGTATCTTTAAACATGAGAAATATTTAAAAGAAAATAAACAGTTGACCTTGAACAACACAGGTTTGAACTGCATTAGACGTGGATGTTTTTGATAAACACAGGATAGTACTGTAAACGTATTTTCTCTTCCTTGTGATTCTCTTAATGACGTTTTCTTTTTTTAGCTTACTGTACTGATAGGATATGGTATATAACACATATTACATGTAATATGCATGTTAACTGTTTATGTGATCAGTCAGGGTTCGGGTCAATAGTAGGCTGTTAGGAGTTGTTTTTGGGGGTTCAGAAGTTCCATGTGGAGTTTTGGCTCTTTGGGGGTCAGCACCCCAACCCCCTTGTCGCTCAAGGGTCACCTGTAATTGCCTGAAGTTGTACAAGAGAAAACCATGTTAAGCACTTAAATCTTTTTTTTTTTTTTTTTAAAGATTTTATGTATTTATTTGAGAGAGAGAATGAGAGAGAGCACATGAGAGGGGGGAGG